GAAGCCACAGGCACAGGCCCAGGGAGTGTATAGGCATGAGGAAGGGCCACGCCCGGAGACCGTGATAGCCCAGGTGCTAATGAATATTATCTCCTGCCTTGGGAGATTACCAGAACAAGTGAATGGGTGGGGAAAGGGCTCAAAGAGACCTAGGCAGGGGTCCAGAAACACAGGGTTCTCCTCCCAGCCTTTCTTGAGTTTGCTTCACACCTCAGACAGGTCACTTGCCTCCCTGGTCCTCATTTTCCCCATCTGGTATGTGTAGGGCTAGCACTGAGGTGACAGTCAAAAACAGGGCCAAATTCAAATCCAGAGAGCATTTCACCCTAGAGTCTAGGCTTTGGGATCAGAGAGACTCAGGCTCAAATTCTAGCTCTGCCACTCATTAAGGCTGGCGGCCCAGGCCAGCTCCTCTGTTTCTGGGAGTCCCCTGCGGGTGGGGGCCACACTGTGAGAATGCCTGCTGCAGAGTCACATTCCTATGAGAAGAGGGCCTCAGACTTGCTCACTGCTCTACCGCAAACAGTGCTGGCAGGTGGCAAGTCCTTGGTAAATGCTTCTCACTGGGCTCTGGGTGGTTTATTCTGGCTGGGGCAGAGGGTGGTGGATGGGGCTGGGGAGGTGGCAGGAAAGGCAGCAAGACGGTGGGCAGGGACCAAACCAGGGTGGGCCAGAGGGTTGGGACTTGTGGGAGGCTGAATAATGGCCCCCAAATGTGTCCACATCCTAATCCCTTGAGAATGTTACCTTACGCGGCAAAATGGACTTTGCAGATTCGATGACGTTACAAAATTTGAGCTGGGGCTCTAGAGTAGCATGGGTTACCCAGGCGGGCCTCAGTGCAATTGCAAGTGTCTTTCTAACAAGGAGGTAGAGGGAGAGAGCTGGCTACAGCAGAGCAGAAGGTGACGTGACCTTGGAAGCAAAAGGCTGGAGTGATATGAGAGGGGCCCTAAGCCAAGGCATGCAGGCTAACTACAAGTGGGGCAAGGTAAGGAAAGGGAGGCTCTCTGGAAGCCTTCAGAAGGAACCAGCCCTGCCAACATCTTGATCTCAGACATCTGGCCTTCTGAATTGCAACAGAATAACGTGTGTTATGTTTGGCCACTAGGCTGGTAGGGATTTGTTATGGCAGCCACAGGAAATGGACACAGGGCTACCTACGTGCAGGCGGCCGTGGGAGGCAGAGGAGAGTCCTGAGCAGGGCACTACACTGAGATTCATGATTTAGGGAGCTCACTGTGAGTGACGGAGCAGACAGGGAGAGGCTGGGAGCAGGGGTATCTGAGAGCAGACAGGGGAGAGGTGATGAGGGGTGATGAGGGGCAGATGGTGTCTGCCCACAAGGCAGGCAGCAGGTTCTCGAATGGTGGGACCAGCCGGGGCCCCTGACTGTGGGGTGAGCTGCCCTGGGTGTGCTGCAAAGAGCACTCATAGAGGCCGGGCAGGAACGTTGTGGGGGGACTGCTAGTTGGCCACAGGGAAGGGAGGACCAGCCAGCTTGGCCACTCTATCTTCTGGAGTCACCCCTTGGCCGATGGTGCCCCCACCCCACCCAGGGCAGGCTGGCTCAGTTCCCTTTGGAATTCTTGGCTCAGGCAGACAGCCCAATCTTGGCAGTGATAAGGGCTCTGGGTCAGTGCGGGTTTGACCCCAGACGGAGAGCTGGAAGGACATGCTATCAGCCAGCAGGGAAACTGGGAGCCGAGCTTATCGAGGGACACACGAGGCCCTGATCGCCCTGGCAGTCTTGGTGGGAATATCAACCTCTGGCTGTTCTTGGCTACCTCCGCCCTCCATGCCCTCAACCACGGTGTGGGGCCCTCTGACTGGCTCCCCAACCCTTCTCTGCCAAAGCCCTCTGCCCCTGCACCACTGGAGGACAGACCACAGCTGTGCTCTCCAGGAGCATGGGCCCTGGACTCGGCTCTGGCCCTGCCTCCATGGCTGCATGCATGACCCTGGCAGGCACCGCCTCTCTGCTGGCCTTTGTTTCTTCACAGCCCCTCACCCAGGGTGCCCGCAAGGATCAGAACAGGAGATGGACACTCATACCCTGCAGCATGCCGGGCACCCAGAGGACAGTCTATGGCAGGCGCTGCTATTTCTGTTGTTGCTCAGATCACAATTTTGGGTTGTGTCCCTTGGGGCAGTTTACTTGACTTCTGTGAGCCTCAGTTTTCCCATCTGTAAAGTGGAGATTAAGCAAGTCCCTGCTTCACGGGGTTGTGTGGAGGATGAAGTGAGGCCCTGAGTCTCAAGGGTCCAGTCCTGCCTTGGATGAAAGGGTCTTCTCATTTGCATTTAAAAGCTCAGAGGGGCCGGGCACGGTGGCTCAAGCCTGTAATCCCAGCACTTTGGGAGGCCGAGACGGGCGGATCACGAGGTCAGGAGATCGAGACCATCCTGGCTAACACAATGAAACCCTGTCTCTACTAAAAAATACAAAAAAAAAAAACTAGCCGGGCGAGGTGGCGGGCGCCTGTAGTCCCAGCTACTCGGGAGGCTGAGGCAGGAGAATGGCGGGAACCCGGGAGGCGGAGCTTGCAGTGAGCTGAGATCCGGCCACTGCACTCCAGCCTGGGTGACAGAGCGAGACTCGGCCTCAAAAAAAAAAAAAAAAAAAAAAAAAAACGCTCAGAGGTCTACTCTCCGGGGTGGGCTCCTGGGCCCACATGCCACCCCCATCCGGGCTTCAATCCTTGGCATGTGTGGCTCTGAATCTGACCAGTCAATCTGACCAGTCAGCTTCTTAACTAGACCATGAGCAATTGCAGGTGGCCGAGGGTGGCAGGGGGTGGGAGATGCTCTATCTCACTTCGTGCCCTTAGCACTGGGTGCAGGGGTGAGAGTAGGATGCCCCCAAGGAACAATTAATGCCTAGAAACAATGTCAGGCATGAAAACAGGCCAGTAGTGGGTGCTCAATGAATGTTAGCTACTGTTAAGTGCTTATTGAATGAAGAAGTTCCCTTAAGGACCCAGCTGAAAAGGCGGCTTATTAACCCAGGGCTCAAACAGGTAACGGCAAATACAAAGGGATATACAAGACTAAACCCAGGAGTGGCAACCACCTTCTAGCTGAACCACATCCCTGTATTTTTTTCTTTTTTAAGCTTTGTGAACTGAGTAGGCTTTGCACTCCAGCTGCCTCCTGAATAAGATTGTGCAAGGATATGGTAGGTGGGCGTTTTGCCCATCAGGACTGGAAGTGGAAGTTTCCAGGTGTGCACTTGGAGGGTGGATTTGAGGGACCAGGTCCAGGGCCTGAGGCCACAGTTCAATGCAGGAGCAACAGGCTTGCTTCAGATGGACAGTGGTGAGGGAGCAGAGGGCCCCAGATCTAAGTCTATGGAGGGACACTCCACCCCTGGGAATGGGGGTGGTAGCTACAAGGACCAGAGGGAATATGCAGGGGTCTCACTAGGCAGTTTTGCCCCCACAACTCCAGAACCTGGAAACCTTGTTGGTGGGTCTGCAGCATCCACACAAGCTTTTCTTGAGTCTGACTTATGTCCTGTTGGGAGACGGCAGAGCATGTTTGTGTCCTTTCGCTCATGTGAGCTTCAGGCAACTCTGGACGGCAAGTAGGAAGCCCGGTGAGGGTAGATCAACGCTCTATGAGATGAGCAAACCGAGGCCTGAGATGGGGAGGAACTTGCTCAGGATACAAGGTGAGTGCCGGTAGAGCTGAGACCAGGGCTATGCCACTGATTTTCCATAACGTCATCACCATAAACCCCAAAAAATCTCATTTCTACACCCCCAGTATTCATCATGATTCCTGGCATGTGGTGGGAATTGGATGAATGTTTGTAAATGAATGAATGAACAAATGAACAAACAGATGAATGAAAGGGTCAGTTCCACAGACCAGCATCCTGGAAGGCAAAGCCATGGTCTGTGGGAAGAGAAAGGAAAGCAACATTTATTGAGCAACTTCTATGTGCCAGGTATCCTCTGAGCATTCTTTCATTTGCTCCTCTCGGCAGTGAAAGCCCAGACCAGTAAGCTGCTTCTCCCCACAGGGAGCTTCCTCGGCGCCACTCAGGTCTTTGGTGTGGTTTCCCTTAAGATCCTGCATTGGCTGTGTCACCAGCGAATTTATCCAAATCTCATTCTGATTCTGCGCATCTTTTCTGCCTGGTGCCCTCAGGAGGGGGAATCCTGTTGTCCTCACTTGCATCTCCCGCACTCTGAACATCCGAGAGTCTGCAAGCTTTTAAGATCTATGGCCTCCTTGATTTTGCTTTCTTCTCTTTCCTCTCTTATGAGTCAGTGCCACAACCCCCTCGTCTACAGTCTCATCCTCTGGTCCACATCTTAGGGGTACCCAGAGCCCTCTTTCCAAAGCATAGATCTGCTGAAGGTACCCTTACCCTTGCTTCTAACTCTTGCACCTTTCCTAAAATCTACAGTATCATGCCCAAACTCAGCCACCTTCAAGGCCCCACCTTTCTGACTCCACTGGCCTCTTTCCCCACCGACTTACACACCCCCACGGTAAGAGCTGATGCATAGTAGGTGCTCAATAAATGCTGAACTGAGCTGAGTTTCTCATTTAACCCCACAACAGCCCCATCAAGTGGCAGCATTGGTGACATGGTTATTTGAGTGCTATCCTGGAGGGGTTCATTGAACACTTACGACTCCTTAGTGGCAGTCAGGCTTCAAACATAAGACTCCTAATTGTAAGGACAATGTAGCTAGGAAAAAGGGCTCGCGAGTTCCAAAGTCAGGTGGCCACTCTTCAGGCCCCAGCTGTGCGGTCCTTGCCAAGTCCTCTGAGAATTTTAATATGCTCCTTTTAAAATGGAGCTAATAAGTTCTCCCTTTGGGGGCCGTTGGGAGGATTAAGCACGAGGGTGTTTACAAAGTGCTCATGAAGAGTGCCTAGAACAGAAACCAGCACCATCTAAACAGCAGCTCCTTAAATCATTCCCATCAGTAGCCTCCCCTCCCAGTGCCCCCATCCTGTGCACCAACGGCTAGGGCTATTACCTGTCTGTGGCTCCCTGGGGGGCTGTGACTTCTGTCCCACTCCACACCTGGAGCTTCAGGGGTTTCTCTTCCTGTTGCCTGGGTTCTCGGCTTTGGGTCCTGGACAGCTGAGAGGCGTTGGACCTCACAGAAGTTTTGTGGGAGTTGCGGTTGGCAAGCCTGCAGCAGAAGAGCTGTTGGTACCCGGTGCGGAAGTCTCTGTTCAGCGCAGCATACAGGATGGGGTTCAGGGCTGAGTTGGCATAGCCCAGCCACAGAACGATGGCTTCTAACACCTCATTGATGGCATCATCCCCTCTCAGCCCACGGTACACAAACGCGGTGAAGTAGGGAAACCAGCAGATGATGAAGGCCCCCATGACGGCGGCCAGTGTCACTGTGGCTTTGTGCTCCCTGATGGTGGCTGCCTTCCAGGAGCTAATGTGATTGATCCTCTTGGCCTGGTCCCGGGCGACCTTGAAGATGCGGTAGTAGGTGATGCACATGATCAGTAGTGGTAGGTAGAAGGTGACCAGCCCATCCACCAGCCCGTACACTTCATTGACCTGGACTTTGCACTTAGAGGTGGTATGATTGCCCTTGCTGGTCTCGTTCCTGCTGTTCCACCCCAGGTGGATAGACAGGAAGGACAGGGTAATGGAGATGACCCAAATTAAGACCAGAGAGATGGCGACCCGAACTGGGGTGACCAGCACAGGGTACCGCAGTGGGTCCATGACAGCGCAGTACCGGTCGAGACTGATCATGAAGAGGTTGAGAATGGAGGCTGTGCAAAGCATCACATCCAGGCTGGTGTAGATGTTGCAGAAGACCTTGCCGAAGCTCCACTTGCAGGACAGCTGGTAGATGGCAGAGAAGGGCAGCACCAGGAGGCCGAGGAGCAGGTCAGTGACAGCCAACGACACGATGAAGCAATTGGTCAGGTTGCGGAGCCGGCGGTTCAAGCCCACAGCCAGACAGACGACCACATTGCCAGCAATGGTGATGAGGATGAGGACCGCAAGGACCACGGTGATGGTGATCTTGCAGGCGGTAGAGTCCAGGCAAAAGGAAGAGGCTGTGCCATTGGGTGCCATGCTGGGACCCTATGGCTCGGTCCCCTGACCAGGGCCCCTGGCTGCTGCTTCTCCGCTCCCAATGTGACAATTACGCCAACCACTGGATTCCAGGCTCCCAACAGAGCCAAAATGTGTCCAATTTTTTTTTTTTTTTTTTGGCCAGGGGGTGGGGAAGGCTTCAATGACTGACTCTGGGCTGCTTTTCTAGAAATAAATTAAGCAACACCTTCTAAGGTGTTGAGAATGAATATGAATGAAGAATAGAGAAAAGCAAAGCCTTGAAGCCAGGTTCATGTATCAAACTCCAGTCCTCAGATGATCCCCTGAAGAGCTAGCTTCCTCCCGGGACTCGGGTAGGTCTCCGCTCCCCGGGTTTTGCATAGAATCCGAGGCACTGTCTGGCGGTGGCTTTGGTGTCATGCAGGATGGGTCATGTGGAGACACAGCTGTATCCCTCTCCATAGCTGGTGCCTGCTCCCATCTGCGTGATGGAGTCAAGTATTGAGGATCTCCCTCTCTGCAGTCAGTGGAGGGCAGCAGCTAAAAAGGCAAAGGTTGGATGTTAAGCACCTTGAAACCAGATAGAAAGCATGACCCGATTCAAGATGTATCCTTCTACTAGAGCTCAACCTCTTGGCAAGACCCCAGGAAGTATGGGGCCAGTCTGGATACCTCTCTTTGGGAGGGACTCGGGCAATCAGGATACATAATGGGGAGGCAGAAGGGAGGCGGGATGCAAGGGGTTGGATACTGAGACTTGTGAGAAGAGTTGGAAAAGCTGGAAGTGCTTGTACTGAGAAAAGAAGGATCTAGACACAGACTTTCAGCTCCACTGGAAGAGGGTCTGCATCTGTTTGCTCCTGGTGCCTGGCCCCACAGACAGACATTAAGCGTCTGATGAATAAAGGATAAAATGAATGAATGAATAAACAAATGTAACGAATCTACTCCTCTGAAGTGCTGAGAACAGTATCCGGTGCTGCTGTTGGGCAAAATGTCATCGTACTCTAAGGTGGTGGCCGACAAACTTTTTCAGGAAAGGGTCAGGTAATAAACACGTTCTGCCCAGCAGCCTGTGACGGCTCGGCTCTGCCTTTGCAGTGAGAATGCAGCTATGCAGATGACGTGCAGACAGAAGAGCGTGGCTGCACTCCAACAAAACTTCAGTAATGAACACTGAAATTTAAATTTCATATCATTTTCACGTGTCACAAAAATCTCTTTTTGATCTTTTTCCAAAATGTAAAAATGTAAAAACCATTCTTAGCCACGGGCTGTACAAAGCCAGGCAGAGGGCCAGATTTAGTCTGCAGTTCGTCACCTGTCATCCACGCCACCCCTGCTCTGAACACATCTCTAAATCTTACTGGTCTTACTTGGCAGAACACGTGATCCCACATCCAGGTCAGCAGGGACAGAACTCACTCAATCCTTCTAATGGTTGCATAACAGTCTGTGGGGAGGCTCACCATGAATAGGTTTATCCTATCTTCCCCATATCACCCTCTCACGGGCATTTGGGTGGTTTCTCCTTCCTCCCTTCCTCCCTTTGCACTATTGAAGTAGTGCAAACACTACTTCAATAAAGTAACTGCATGTGCAATGCCTCTTGGTTAAATAAGAGCCCCTGGTCACCAGATAATCTCCAAGGCGCCCTCCCAGTGGTGGCTGTATATGATTCCAGCTGGCCAGAAACAAGCGGAGGCCCTGCTCCACGCCCCGGTCCTTCCCTACCAGCTTCTCCTGGTTTTTCAGAGAGCAGGCAATCTCCTGAGCTCTGAGAGTGTGCAGAAATCGAGTTGACGGCGGAACCTCCTCTCAGAAGCAAGCTAATCTCCATAAAACATAAATTAAGCCTCTCCCAGGCTCTTGCCTGGAGCGGTTTGCAACCTGAATACGAGAAGCATCATTTAATCATAACGATTGTGTTCGTGCAGGGATCAGGGTTCCCGATCACCTTCTGCCACCCTCCCTGGCTCAGCCACCAGTCCTGGCAGCTGAACCTCCGGGTATTATTTTTAGCAGATCTTTTCATTATATAAATAGCCCAAACAGCATGGGTCTCACCGCCACACTTAATTAACTTTGGAGGGGGTAGCAATCAGGGTATTTTTTTTGAGAATCCCTATTTCTCATCAAAATTTTTTCTGACTTACCCCAATAGCCGGGTATAGGTATTTTGGCATCAGGCTGACATTTGAGTTATGTTTGGATGAGGGGTCTTCAAATCTGAGTGAACCAGCCTCTCCTATAATTAGAAAATTCTTTCCTTCTCTCCCCTCCCACCCCTCCTTCTCTTCCTCAGTCCTTTTCAACACACATTTCTCTGAAAACCCAGAATGTGTCAGATGCTTCTCCAGGTGCTGGGAGGACAATGATGACCAAAACAGCTGTGAGTCCTTTCTTCATGGAGTTTTCAAAGAAGAACCACTTCTGCTGTATTCCTATTTAAAGCCCAGCTCCCGTAAATTCTGGTCACCTTTTTCGAGGGCAGGGGATTTTGTACGGCGCTCTGTCTCCCTCCCATCCTCTCCTGTCCCATGTGGGTAGAAGGATTGCCTTAGAGGGCCACGTCATCCCCTTATGGAGCAACCTTCAATGGCTTCTCTTTGCCTGTGAGGAAGAATCATGTCATCCTTGTCACCATCATTGTCACCATCATAGCTAACAAAAAATAGTCTCTCAAACTGTCCTTTCAAACTTCTCAAGTGATGACAGGCTTATTCCAGTAAGCCAAGTACCCCTGAGGTGTACAGAAAGGGCCAAAAATCAGGGCCACCACACACCTGCGCCCCTGCACCAGGAAGCGACTGCTGCTGACCATTTGGTATGTGGGGGCCTCCTGCGTTTCTATGCCTCTGCACGCACATGGACACACCCCGGGCACTGTCCATACACAGCACACACGCTACTGAGCAACTGCTTCTCCTTCACTTCTTTTAAAATTTCCAGTATATAACGGATGGCCCTCTAGGTCGCTTAGATCTAAGCCATCCTTCAGGGAGCCCAGCCCACGGCAGTGCAACTGCTGTCATGAGGATATGTGCACAAGGATGTCCACTGGCAGATGTGCAATGGCAAGAATGGAAAACAATCTGAGCTGCCATCCGCAGGGGGAAGAAGTTTCAACGAATCACGGCACAACTGTCCTGCAGGATCGTCCTGGGCGAAGCGACACCACACATAGTAAATAAAATATTACTGAATCCTCACAACCCCATGAGTGAGGAAAATCATTGTCTCTGTTTAACGGTTGAGGAGACTGAGGCTCAAAGAGGCCAGGCGATGTCATGCCCCTAGAGAGTGGCAGAGCCTGGATTCGAATTCAGCTCAAACTCCTTTGGCCTGTATTTAATGCCCATTCTTCGATCAGACTTCAACCTGTCTTTCCAACAGGGTCTCACCCAGCACTCCAGCATCTGCCTGTTAATTTCACAGACTCTCGGGCAACCGAGCGTGTCCCCAGATGCAGCATGCCTTCTCCCTCCTGTCTCTGCGTTTGCGTCCCCTATGTCTGGTGCTTCACTCTTCCTTGTATTTACTTCAACCACTCTCCTTTCAAGGCCCAGCTCAGGTACCTGTCTCCTTGAGTCCTCCTAGATGCCTAAAAGCAGGAGTAACCTCTCTGCACTTTGTACCGAGTTAGATTGTACAGCACCTGCTGCCTTGTAGCGTTGATCTGGCTCTGCGGTATTTAATTCTGGAAAGTGCCAGGCCCATTCTGATTCTGTGCCTTTGCACATGCTGTTTTCACTGCCTGGAAGGCCTTTCCTTACCTAGAGAGCTCTTACCCTTTTGTCAAGCCCTGGCCTCCTCTGTCACCTCCTCCAGGAAGTCTTCCAGAGGTAACTTCTCCATCCTCTCTCACTTCTACCTCCCTTGGACTCACCTCAGGCAGAGGCTTGTGCTTTCTGAGGTGGACAGAAAGGGGGTGTTTTTTTAATCCCATTGGGCAGAGTGTTGAGTTTTCAAGGCCTTGGGAGCACTCTCTTCTTAGTGGAGTCCTTGGTGATTCACCATGAGAATGTGTCTTCCCAGGAATTGAGTTGTGGTGAAACACAAAATACCACTCTTCTCTTCTATCCTTCCACCTGGTGGTGAAGAGGACCAGGGCTTGGAGGGTGAAGCTCTCCACAGAAAGAGGTAGAACTTGGCAGACTGCCCCAGGTCTGCCTGATGCCACAGCCTCCCTCTCACTACCCACAACCCACGAAACCCCAGAAGAAATGCCGCTGGTGTGCACTCAGTTTGAAAACCAGAGGGGCGAGGCCATCTAGAAAAGCAACCAAGCTGGGGACTGGGAAGTGCTCCCCCTCCAAATTTGCCAAATCAAGTCCAATACTTTCTTTTCCCTTTTCAGCGGGAAGTGAAACCCCTTTTGTGGTTTAAGTACTTAACCCCCAGACACAGCCCTGGCAATTGCACCCAAGCGGCAATTGCACCCAAGCGGCCAGCAATTTGGGGGAATCAGTTAAGGCCTGATTGGCCTTCTCACTCAGCCTGAAAGATAAATCTGATTTTCCAGGCAATAATGTACAACGGGAAAAGAAAATGGCATCCACGCAGCGACCACTGTGCCTGATGCCCCTGCTGGGCGAGCATCACGGCAACCCTGTGAAACAGGTGGTTTGATCCTTACTCTACAGAACAGACACCATGAGGAGTGAAGGGGAGCCCCTGTGCTGAGAGCAAGGACTTGGACATTGGACAGATCTGGGTTCCAATTCCAGCGCTGTTGCTGAAATAGCTTTGTGACCCTGGGCACGTGACTTCCAACTCTCTGAGCCTCAGTTTTCTCATTTGTAAAATGGTGATGCTACTACCTTCTCCTTCACTTGATGGCTGTGAAATGAAGACAGTAAAGGGATGGAAAACCCTTAGTGCCCGGTACGTGGTAGGTTCTTTCCAATAACATTTTTGTCATTGGCTGAAGCTGCATGGCCAGCAAACAGCATTCATGAGCATGACACATACCAAGCGGCTTCCAGGTGAAGACGCTGTGCTGAGGACTGGGCTACAGCAGTGAGCACAGCAGACACATCTGGAGCGCCCAGCACAGGGGTGGGAGAAGACACAATCCGGGACCTACGGTGGAGCTGCTTATTGATGGCAGCTGTGCTAAGGGTTATCTAAAGGGAAATAGCACCGCCAGAATGTATCACGGTGTCGGTATGGAAGGCTTCCCCAAGGAAGCGACATTCGAGTTGAGATCAGTACAGATGGGAATGAGGTAACTGAGTGAACTTGGGACAAGCAGAGTCCAGAGAGAACAGCCGCTGTGAACGTTTGGAGGAGAAAGATGGTGGGTCGTATCCCAAGAGCCCTGAGACGCCTCTGGCAGGTGGAGGGGAAGTTCAAACAGAGGGTGATGTGATTGGAAGGTGGGAAGAGGGGCACACAGTCCCTGACCTCCTGCTGTGTATCAGGATTCAGCGGTGTGGCAGCTGGGGGTGGGCCGGAGCAGGTGGCTGCCCGGCACCGCCCAGTTCCTCATTCTCATGAGCTATTCATTCTCAGAACTTTTCCCCTGTAATCG